CTATTCGGAATCGAAAGTGTTTTCAGATTCACTTGATACGAGGTCCGTTATGATCGCGGCACTGTCCGATCTCCGTGACAGCCGAGAGACCGTTCAATTCTCTTTGTTCCATTCAAGATTTTGAAGAGACCAAAAAAGGCCTTATTTTGCGATTCTTCCCAACAAAGGAGCAATCCCGGATAATGAAAACATTCCCGCTTTGTCTCCCCTTCTACAACCTTCCCCCTCTCCCCTTCTCCCCCCCCCCTCCCCTTCCCCCTCCACCCACAGGTGGAAGCATCCACGGAAAAACAGGTGGTTCTGAAGAACCTCTCCCTCCGGTCGAGCGGACTCTACATCTGCGAGGTCTCCGCCGAGGCCCCCACCTACAAGACCCAGCAGCAGTCAGCCTCCATGGAGATCTACGGTATGAATCCCTTGCAAATTGTTCGAGTCGGCATGAAAAAAAAAATTTGCAGGGCGCGAGTATCGGATTTTATGCGTTTCTAAAACTTCATTCTCGTGATAGATGCATAAAGAATCTGGAATCGCCAGAATCCTTCAAGATAAATTTCAAATGTTTGATACTCGGAATTTCTCCGACATATTGGATCCAAATGCTCTCATCCAGGATAATATGATTAGCATGGCACTCAGGATATCACCAAAGGTGATGCAGCGTCGGCATACTGGGCCGGGCTGGGATGATGCTGATGATGATCTCATGACACGTGTAGATTATTACAATGCACGTTGCTCTAAGTACATTATCATCATCTTTTAATTACGGGGAAAGAACGTATTTCCTTTTTACTTCTAATATACGTCATAAATTACGTGGAAGGACATGGGGGATCCAAATGAGCACAACGCAACCAACAATTTTCACTTCGATTGCCAGACCATAAGCTGAAACACGATTTATTTCATCCCCTGCTCCACATATCAGATCAAAACGATCCCCCACCATTTCATCTCTCATCAACTCATCCCCCCCTTAAACACCTGCAACCCCCCCCCCCCTAAAAGGACGCAAAAAAAGGGGGACAGAGCCCCCCCAAAGACAAGATGGGAGTAGACGCGGGAGGCCCCGCGTTCCGCCCCCGTCCCCGGGGGACGGGACCCGGCTAACAAGGTTCCCTCCCCCCTTTTCAATGAATGCTTTCAAAAAGTTCCACCCGGAGAGAGGAGCTCCCCAAGTTCCACAATCGCGTTTAGAGCTTTCATCGAACAAAAGGGGACACATATAGAAGATGTCTCCATTTATCCACCCAGACACTTCCGACAAGCCACGTCCCTCTTTCGAGAAGAAAGATCCTCGAGATCAGAAAGTCCATAAAAAAAAGTACTGTTATGACACTTTTAATGGTACTGCGACGTCGAGGTTCCATCCACGAGTATTTTTTCCACAACCAGGCAGTTCTCATCTTCCCCTTTTTGCATTTTTCCTCTCGAACTCTCGAAAGTCAGTTACCCCAGAGGTGAATTCGCTTAGAGGAATTTGGTTCACAAATACCCTGTCGCTCCATGTCGCTCCTTTGATCAGGGAAAAGAGCACGGAGTAAACTCAATTGCCTATCAGACTATGGAAAGCATAAAACTCTTCCTTCTAAAAGAAATGTACTGCAGTCGACTCCACTTATTGGAATACCGCTTAATGGAATGCCATCGCGCAGTCTCGAAATTTAAAGCATAAGATGCTTTATGGAAAACATCGTATAAAGGAATACGTTTACCCGCTTGAAGGAATAAACTTTTCTGCAAGTTTATTTTTTATCTCTAAAAAAAATGTTTATTTTTCCTTTCCCGCCTTCTCGGAAAGTCCGTCCCCGTCCCCCCCTCCCCCTCTCGCTTCATGGAATCAATTTCACGAGCAACTGCTATTTGAATATTCTGCGAATCGAGGGCGGGAGCAGAAGGAAATCTAAGTTTGTCAGTTCCTGGAAATAGGGGTTATAAAGTCAACATGTAAATGCCCGAAAAGGGAAAGAAGCTTGCCTTTTTTCAGGTGAAAGCGAAAGGAAGCCCACCTTGAAAATAAATCGAGAGTCAATAAGTAGTATATCTGCGCATTCCGATGCGATCAAGGGGAAAAGGAATGACTTCAGCTTGGCTGAATGCAGAACAGAATACCCACCAGAACGAAACGAATAAAGAAATTAAGAAAATAAAAAAAAATTATGAACAGCGCAAAAGACAAAAAAAAACATGCAAATTGGAAATAAATTAGTGTTGGGTGCAGAAGGCGCATAACAAATTTTTTCGTGCGCTTGAAAATCGCACAAAAAATAGAGTATGCGCGATTATGACAATGACAATAATGAATGCACAAAAAAAGAAGAAAATTTGGACTGGATAAATTACAAGGGCGAAAAATATGCAAAAACCACTGGTACTGTACTGTCCCTTTCTAATAATCGCCTTAAGTATGAAGAAAATCTACAGTACGATAGTTTCGGTTATTGGAATACTGATAATAAATTTCACTGCTCCCTGGAGTATTCAAGTATGCGGAGTCGACCGCATATGTAACGGGAACTGAACTCGCGCCAACGTCGTGCAGTAACATTCCATATTCGGAAATTACGTACGCCGAAGAGGCACGCTAACTGTGATTGAAGTGCATCGGCTGATGAAAGTATCAGACTGGGAAAGTAGATCCTAAAAACCTCTTCGAGCATCGCTCAGATCAAATAATCTCAGCATGCATCTTTGGCGCCATGTACAGGTACGGGATGAAAACAAGGAGGGAAGAGGGGGAGGGGGGAAGGAGGGAAAGATGGGGGGGAAGGGGTGAGAAGAATAAGGAGGGCCGGGACTTCATTCGGATAGCTGTTAACCCTTCCAACAACGGTTCCATACACAGGAGGTTAACAAAAATAACCCTGCATTTGCGAAAAAATTGTAGTCAGTCACTAACGAGCACCTCAAAGTCATGAAAGTTCTAGGTGTCGTCCTTTGACCGTAGGATCGACCGAGCAGAAGTCCCGTGTATCGCAGACACCAGGAACGATGGCACGGAATGCTGTTCCATGTGATCCATATCGGGCGGTCTCGTTCGATACATTCGGCCCTTTGACGAAGTCCATCGGCGTAGGAGCGGTTGAGCGTGCATAATGGCTCGCGCCGATGGATTTCAATAGGCCGCTGTGTCTGGTAAACTGGAACCGCTTGCGACTCTGAGGTGCACAGTAGCGATTGTTGCACGTTTTCGAATATTTGGCACAGCATTTTTTACACTCGAAATATGGGCTCGTACGATTAAACGTCTTCAACGGAATAGATTGCAAACTTGGACTCCCTCGAGCATTTTGACCGAGTTTCCCACCCAACTTCGAAACTTCGGCGAGAGTTGTCGCAAAGTTTGAAAAAGGAAAGTTTGAATCGCCAACGCAACAGCACGTAAAGAAACTCGGATTTTTCTCCGCGATAATGAAAAATTGACACGCTGTCTTTCGGAGTTTGGGGGGTTGATTCTAGATTCAGCGCTCCATCGATGAGACCGGCCGTCGTTTCCGTTCTCGATATAGGCAGGAACATCATTCACACGGAGCCCTTATGACGTTTCCATCTTCGAAACTCCGCGCCGTCATAAAAGGGGATTGGGGGTGGATCGGACTCCTTTTTGGTTTATGCATGTGTATGCATAAGGGATATCAAAAGACCGGTGGGAAGATCATGAATTGTTTGTCATCCTTCGGGAAGACTTGCCAGACTCGGAGCCACTGCTGACTGGCACGGGCGTGGGCGGCCTCCGCCCTCGCATCTCCATAGGGGATCGGGTCGTCTTCAATTGCACCTCGTACTCCTCGTCCCCGCCTGCCCAGGTCGCCTGGTTCATCAACGGCAAGAAGGTGGGTGTCGATGTCGGTCTTCTCCGAGACGATCTGTCTCCTGGGATGACTTTAATTTTCCGATCCCAAGGTGGATAAGGAGAGACTCGTGAAGTCGTACTCGACGGTCAAGGAAGGGGACGGGACCGAGACGGTGATCTCGGGACTGGAATTCATCGTACGGCAGAAACACGTGGAAAGCGGGGCCGTCCGCGTCAAGTGCGTCGCCACCCTCCATACCCTCCAGGTAAATGCCCACTATCCTTGGGTATACTCCTATGTCTAGAGCTTATCGAGCATTAACGCAAGATGACTCTCGCAACCGACGGGGAGGGTAGATAGTCTGGGGTAACGTGACACATTGGAGCTCGACCGGATTTTCCTTCCCGTTTATCCCGAAGGGGGATATCACCCGATATCTACCCCACCAGCGCCCTGTCCAAATCATCATTAAATAATAAGAATAGTTCAAACAACAAAATAATAATAATAATAATAGCAAAATTATAAAAGCATGAAAGAGCCAAATGTAAAAGCCAGTTAAGGGTTTTGCCTCGTGGACTTCAATTGACCACAGCAACGTTATTGCGATTCTGATATCCACATCGACGTTAACCAACAAATTCAGTACTTTTCGATAGTGTTCAGAAGCAAGTACCGACGCTAACGATAAATCTTCCACTTAAACATAGGAAACGTTTTCGCTTGCTTCCTTCTGAAAGACCAATGAACCAATTATTAACAGCAATTTTTCCGAATGGATCGAGGATGTTTACAGACAAATATTATGTGGCTTGATGAAACGACGCAGCAGTGTTTGAATTATGATCCGTAAGCATGCGAACCCGAAAAAAAGGGTGAAATGTAAACATGCACCCTGAAATGTATGCCGTATGACACTTGCAAATCTGTTTCCACTCCCTTCCCGATCGCTCTGGTTCCAAAAAATCGGTTCGCCTCGTCTCTTTCCTTTCACAACGGGATGAACTGGTTCATCCCGTTGTGAGATGTTCTACTATGTTCATCATGGCATCTTATTACGATCACAAGCCTCAAAGTCTACGAAAAGATTTTGACCGATGCGGTTATCACCATTTTGCCGTAAGCGCTGCAAGGAACCAGGTTGCATCCAAAAATAGGAGGGTGGTTTCCGAACTGCCCTAGTTTAGACCTGACCATTTGAATAATTTAAAGAGCAGAATCGAGCTTAAGAGACCGATCGTCGCAATCTTCTCCAGAAGTAACCACCCGGGCCCCGGGGTTAAACGCGATTCCGCTGCGACGTCATTCCGCTGTGACGCAAACCCTTAATGACGCTGATGAGAATTACATGACCCGGGATTATTCATCAGGAGCTTGCTTTAATGACTTGGACGAAGTCGCGATCGTTGCAAGTAACATGTGACGTTGGCTTCAGGCACCTCGTTCGATCACGCAAATGAGGTCAGAAACAAATTATACGTCAGCGATCCAAACACGTTTGGGCTACACAGTCTGCACTACAACATTGACCCAAAGTTTGTAAAAGCAACAACGTTTCAATATCCATCATGTTGCATCAGTGTTGCAGACTGCGAGGCCGAGCCGACTCAACATCGGCTCAACGTTGAAATGAGATAAGTCTCGATATTGCTGGGAGATCGAATTCATGCTCTCCTGCAGTTGACAGCTCAAAACTCCGTCGATATCATATCAACACAATCTCAGCACGGTCCTATTATGCTAAAGCAAATAATTATCGATCCAATATTGATACGAGAGAGGCGTAACCTTTGATGAATGGCCATGGAGCCGGATAACCAGGGCCGTATGACGTCTCTTCTCCATTCTCGGGGTCGGTATAACGCAGAATTTCCTTGGGTTCGGCTGCCTCTTTCGTCGAAAGAATCTATCAATTCCAATGCTTTCACTTCCGTCTTCTGTGGAAAAAAGATCGATTGTCGCTCGAAAAGTACTGGAGACTTGTGCCAGTCGCGCGTACGGGTAGCTCGCCGTATAAGCGATTAAGTCGCCATCTCGCTTCTGTTCCGGGAACCTCATTCGTTCGAATGCCTACCAGATGGCTCGCGCGACACCGTGTTCACGGAACATTGGCAAGGCATGAGAATAAACTGAAGCGAACGCACACGAATCCCATGACGAGACTTGTCCCATTTTCAGCATCGTGTTAATGTTTATCATGCGTTCGTTCAACATCAGCATCGTCAACCAATTTTAAACATCGGGTCAAGTTTGTGCAGACAGCATAGAGTTTTACCCAGTTCACTACGTTTTCGGGTCGGGCACAATTTGTTTGCCCGTGGTCAACTTTCATCAGTTGCTTGCAACGTCAAAGCTCGAAGGAGCTCTGAAATTTCCTGGGACCAAACTCTGGAAATTTTCCCCGTGTTGCCCTAACATCCCGTACGTCTATTCGGAATCGAAAGTGTTTTCAGATTCACTTGATACGAGGTCCGTTATGATCGCGGCACTGTCCGATCTCCGTGACAGCCGAGAGACCGTTCAATTCTCTTTGTATATTCTCTTCCATTATTTTTTCTTCGATCATCTTCAAGCAGCTTCCTTCCTTCTCTCACATCTCCCACGGAAAATACCGCGCAACAATCTGGAAATCACGTTTACGCCCTTAAGTGACCCACCCTCCCGCGCCCGCGCGAGCACGCCCCTTGCACACGACACAAAAGCGTCATCTCGTAACCACGATACAGCGTGTCGACATTGGTCTGTTGTTAATCTACGTGTAGTCGACATGGTGCACGTAGGTGCGGCTCAGGATGCTGCCGATCGCAACTTGAAAAAAAAGAACGACGAATCAAATACAATTTTTGGATACCTCATCCACAAATCCCATCCTGACCTATTCAAGTTTCAATTATAATTTCTAATAATATCTAATAACATTCTCACCCTCTCTCTTAGTACTACTAACAAACAGCCTGATAGAACCAAAAGCGAATGAACGATCCTCAATTCCCTCTCCCCCTAGTCCAACACACTCTACGAGAGAAGCAGCGAGAAAATCCTCCTGGCCCCGGACTACGACGTCGACCACCACTCCGGCCATCGAGTCATGGGTGAGCCTCTCTAACGACATGCAAATCGGACCCCATCGTCGCCGAAACATCGATAGATCGTGGAGGAAAACCCAGTCGGAACCGAGTCAATCACGCGGTGAAATCCAATTGGAATGAACGATCCGTCAATATTTGATGGACGTTCCAGCCGGTTCTCTCCCACTGCATGTGATTTTGGAGAAGAGAAATCGATCCCTCAATTATTTAGACGTCTATCCCCTCGACTCCATCACATACCTTGTAGTCATCATTGCCCGTGCAGTCACAGACGTCCTTAGTCTCGGACCACGTAACGTATTCTCCGATTTCCTCGATTTGCAAATCGAAGCCTCTCGGTCAAACAATCTACAGGGTGTTCCGAAAGTTTCTGACCCAGTAAATAAATATGGAGACGAGATTGAGGGGAATATATTAATTTAATTACGTTCCACATGACCAATAATACCCAAGGTACCAACTCCGACATCAATCCTTGATGTGATTTCCGCGGACTCCAAAGAAACCTCGGATCAGCGTCCCGAATCTCTCGACCAACCGACGGATGACGCTCGTCGCGTTTGTTTCTCACCCCACTTAGAACTCCGGTAATGACTGACACCTGAATTTATGGGGTGGGGCCGACGCAGAGGACTCTACTGGAACCCGTGCCACGGGTGTTACGGAAGCTGAGGTCCGGACAGTTCCTTGGTAAATTCTTCTAGACCCATACCATATTCTCTTGAATGGCGCGATATGCGAAGCAAGCCTCCGAGGCAATGCCTCCGTCCCGCTTCAGCACAGCACAGCCTTTTCTTGGTCTGAGCAGATCGCCCGGATCTTCATGTAGCCCGTGTATATATGCAGAATGTTTTCACTATAGCTGGCATAACACTTAGCCACATCTTATGTGGGTGGGTCAGAAACTTTTCGGAACACCCTAATGATGCTCGCGCCGATAAATTTAGGGGCCTTTAAAAATAATTTTCAATCCTCGCAGTTGAACCGAAAACTCCATCTAATTGACCTTTTCATTTGGCAAGAATTCACGTGCTCGATCACGAGACTCCTGTCTTCGAGTATTCAAGCGCCGATTTTTGAATAATTCTCGACGGCGGCAGTCACGCACGAAACCCATCGGTAATTCGACGACTGGACGACAGTCTTTTTCCCTTGCGGATCTATAGCAGACGATTTTTTTTCCACGCAGTCAGAGAGATACTGCAGTAAGATATGCCAACAAAAACGCTGACTCGCCGGGACACGAGAGAGCGATGTAATGCGAGGAAAGTCGAGAGGCCCTCCCAAGCCCTTTCGATCTGCGGTGTCATGGCTTTCATTCACCCTGCCCCCTCTTCCCCCCGCCTCTACAGCCCTTCAGATCCTCAAAGTGAAGTGACTGCCGAGGGTTTCCCCCCCTCCGAGGATTAACTTCCCTTGCATGCACGCATTCCCGGCTGAAAGGGTTGCGAGTGGAGATGGGGGAACATCGCTCTCGGCTGGGGGGGGAAGAACACATTAGTTCAAGAAGGGGTGAAAAAGAACAATATGACTTCGACAGGTACATGCTTTGTACCACAAGTACAACGAGTTTGTTCTGTGTACCAAGGGGATAATGTCATATATTAGATGTTTCACCGCGTCTGAATCCGAAGAATGTTTAAAATTTCTGTTTTAATTGCGCTTGTTCGTTCGGATGAATCAACACTGACTCCGTTATTCCTTTTAGATGCCGGATATGGATCCGGAGTGAGAAATTGGTCAGCGCTCGCTCCTCTCATCCTGATTACCCTGGCCCTTCTTTCCAAGCATGCATATCAGTGAGAAAGGACACAACAAAAGGCGAGAAGAGACGAAAGTGCAAATCCACGTGCCCCCATGTGTTTTTCTTTTCTCTTATTCTCCCTCGTGCAGTAATAAAAATTCCCTGTGTTTCTCTGGTCCACCCTCCTTTAACGGTACTTCAGAACGGGGAAAGAAAAAGGGGGAAAACCGTAAAAGAGGAGAGGATCTGACAAGAATGAGGGCCTTTTTCGGATTCTGGGATCTATGGCCCCCAGGGACTCATCCCTCCCTTCGCACGCTCTCCTCCTCCTCTCGTTCCACCGTAGATCCTCATCTCTCCGATGTATATAAAAGGCTACACGATGCAGCCGATTCCGTGATTGGAGGCCAGGTGCGGCTCGTCTTGATATCCTTGCTGGGGGGGGGGGGGCGATCTTGCTAGCAAACCGCATGCTTGCCATGCATGTGATATGATATGATAGGAATCGATGCGTATGGGAAAAGGGCATAAAATGACGCCATAAAATCCAAGATTTATATCCGGAATGCCAACTATTTAAGGGCTCTTCGGGGGCGAGAACGACATGGCCCTGCTCCAAAAAAAAAGGAGATACTTTCGAATCGATACGGAATCGATAGTGGGAGTGTTGCTACATCGCGGTTACAAGGTGGAAACTGAATGAGTAATGAGTATCTCTTTGCACTAAAGTAATAAAGCTTATATTGTATTGTACTTATATCGTATCACCTCGTATATTGTAAACCTTATATTGTATAACTTGCTACAAAATTGGATTCGACTCCGCATAATTTCTCTGAATTCAATACAACTTCAGCCTATTTTCATTACACCGGTCTCGAGGACTGCCCCGGTGTTCGCAATCGATAAAGTCACCATCGGCGCCATCGGCGACTTCACGTCACCCAAACGGCATCACCGACCAAGAGCACGACACTAAAAGCATCTCTCAGATGCGACAGTGATGCCCTTTGAGACTCGGCATAACGAGGGGAGACGGGGGGGAGATAGGTGGAGCTCCGCCTGCACCCCTATTACTTAATGGGGAGGAAGGATGGAAATATCTCGACTGAATATTTCATGCAGCTGATCCCCCCACGAGATCCCGGAACAAGGCCCTGTAATTGAACGGCGTCTATATCCTCCCGGCCGGGAAGGTTTATATCTCCCGTGGAAGGCCATGGGGGATTCGATCGGCCGGATGAGACCGGGGGAAAAAAAGGCTAATGCACGGAATCTTTAAGAGCCTCAACTTGGATTACTAGAAGGATTAGGAAAGCACCCTCTTCATCACACCGAATGCGTTTGGAACTCATGCATGAATCTTTGGTCAAAATCGGGTACAAGCCTGAGATTGCTTTCAAAAGACTCTGTTATACGCTCGATAAAACATTTTCGACAGGCCAGTCATTTCCCTACGTGGGATATCGATTGAAACAAAGATCTTTTCTTCATGCATATTCGACACAGAACTGCTGCTGCGAGACTGTCTGAGTACTTCCATATATTTTCCATATCCAATTGAGTTTTTGCGACACAAGTCAGTAGAGCCAGTTTCGTTGGTCCCGCTCGAAAGCATAAAATTATTCATCACGGCCTCGTAACGAATGAAAACACGGAAGTGATTTAGAATCAATGCTCCACTTTCACGCTTCGAGGTGCAAATCTCCTAGCAACAACAATGAACGGAACAAAGTTTGATCCCGAGAACACCATTAAAAATGAATCCCCATCCTCGAATGTCTCCTCCGAGAGCTGGCGCTTTGAAAATCGCCCTCGTGTCCCACGTGGGAATTCCATCGGGAACCTTCCAGGTCATCAAGCGCTCTCATTTTTCATTTCATTCTCATTTTCATTCCATCAACGAATGGAAATTCACTTCCCCGGTCACAGCCCCGAGCTCGCGTGCTACCCGACCGAAATTTTTTGCCAGACCTACGAACACCACGACTCACTTAAATTAGTCACTTTCACAGATGCTGCCATATTTCGTCAGCACTACCCATCAAGAATATCGGCTCCACGACATTTTACTGCAGATCACCGTCGACGTGTCACTGCAAAAAAAACTCATTCGCATTTCACGAGCACTTTTCACATCGGCTTCCAACTCATCCTAGAATAACTGCAATTCCATGACGCAACGCATCACCACGGCGCGCTCAATAGCCACGCGTGCTAGGCAACCCCACGCGGATCTAGAACGGTTTCGAATTCGCCACCACGGCGGCATGATAAAGGAGCATGTCATCGAGAGCCAGGGAAGGCGGGGCAATACCGCCTGAGACAGTTGCTTCACTGTTTGCTCAGCTGGTAGAGGCATTGTCCCCATCTGCGTGCGTCCGTCTACGGTAGAAGTTCCCACCCGCGATAAAAAAGAATTTGCGGATGCCTCGATCCGCTAAACTGGAAAACATCGCGACGAGAAACGCCATCAGCACCGAAGCGAGTCTCTCCCACTCGGGCAACAGAAACCGGATGAAAAGCGAGACGGCACGATCGAGGGAAAAGTCTCTCATGTGAGCGAAACGGATAAACAAGTAAACGAGCAACCTCGGCGAAAATGATCTCGGCCGAATCGGACCCAGAAAACCCTCGTCCCACGAAGAAACCGAAACCAGAAAAATCTCAACCATCTCAACCATCATGCCACCCGACAAACCAACACCGATACCAAAACCGCGACGGAAAGTCCGTACCCAACTGCAACAAAATCGACATGGGAGGCTTTCTCCACCGACTGAGCCAATTTGCCATCGTCTTCTCTTTCCGGCCTCTCTTATCGGGTTCTATAAAATGCATGACAGTCATGGAATAGATACACTTTATAGAGGATAACTCTCGAAACAGAAAATTTCTCGAAATTCCTCTCCCGTTGGAATCCTTAGAGACACTCGACGAATTCCTGGAATCCCTATCTCTCTTGAAAGCGATGCGTCATTTCGCGAGGAAACGATCGTCTTGCAAGGAGAAGTACATTAAGAGAGGAATCATCGAGGCTGAAGTTTTTAACGAAATCTCTCTCTCTCTCTCTCTCCCTCTCTTGGCTTACGAAGCGGGAAAAAGGGGGGTCTTGGGGTTACAACGACTGAGAACGGGAAAGAAGACATTTAATGAACTTTTCATATATTTGCAAAGAAAAGGATGGGGAAGGAGGGAATTCGCTTGGGAAATGAGGCGCTGACATCAGGTCAGAACAATACCCTTCCTCCTACCAATCTACTTTTTCTATTT